TGCTCCAATGAAAATTACCAAAAGAAACCGGGGAATGATTCGGGAACTCGACGAGAAAGAACCGTTTCCATCATCCTCTACAGCGGAGGCAGAGGAGGAGACAGCGGCAGGGGAAGCTAAGAGAGGTAGGGAAAGGCTATGGTCCTCCATGACGGAGTGCAGAAAAGAGCTATAATTTATGTGAGAAATGGTGGGCCAAAAAGCTAAGCAAATTTAACGGGAAAACAAGTTAAAATAGAGAACAATGATTGGCAGCCAACTGTACTCTCCCAACAAGTTACATTTCTTAATCTCGTTGATAATTAAATAAATCATTCTCATTAATTAAGAGACTAATTCCAAATCTGAAGAGGCTGTAGCTTTGTTTCTACATGGGATACCATTGTTCTTAACAGTAAAAAGAAAGAAATATATATTGCTATACGTTGAACTGTTTTCAAGTACAAAAGCACACAAACTGAAAATTAAAACATGTTTCTCTCCTGAATTCCTTTTCCTACATGTTATCGATCAGTAAACAACTTATCTACACACCAAAACTGATATCCTGGGATTCATGCCTCCAGTCAAGCCAACTAGCTGGCACTTCTCCGCAAAATGTTGGTTCACCTTAGTTTTCATGAAAAATCAAAAACCTTGTGGCACCTGAGAGGACTCCTTCAGAAATAAAAAAAAAAGAAAAAATGAATGAGGTTTTCATCTGTTCATCTATTTCTACTGATAGAATCTGGCCAGCAACAAAATGAGGCACGCCACTGGGAGAAATGGCAGAGAGCGGTCCAATTTGGTGGCGGCGTCAGCTGATGGAGATGGGTGTGAAGGCACAGCGCCGAAAACATTTGAACCATTTGAATTGGTCGTGTTTAAGACGGAAGAACTTGTGCTGCAATTCCAACGTACGGCAAGTGATTTGTTACGAATTAACTGTTAACTTGGTGGAAAAGATATGATAAACGAAAGCACAGTATTAGGTAGGCATTTGTGGATAGGAAAGTTTACCTTGTGGATTGATACTGACATGTCCCGCTACCTGAGATCATGGTCAAGTTGGATAAGTCTCGAAATAGTATTCCCCACTTGTAGCACATATACTAATTCATACATCATAAATACACATTTTTACCTTCGTTAAGATTATATATATATATATTCATGGATAATATCAAATTTACATATCTTTTATGATCCGAATTCAATCTATTCAAAATATAAACAACAAGGATCCGACTTTATATTCCATCACAATTTGAAACTAATTGCATCATAGGTTTAAGACTCCATTCTCAAATGATTTTTTTTTTAAATAAAAACCACATACCTATCATTTAAGGCATCTCCTTTTACTTTAGCCTTTTTTTTTTTTTTGGACTTAAAAAATTCTTTTTACTTAAACATTGAAAAGATCAATTATAGCAGAGGGATAATAACGTTATTTAGTCTCCACCCATCATACACCTACTTTATAACCACACATTAATTTTTTCACTGGAATTAGGGATTAATTAGAGCTTTTGAACAGTTGATGAAGGGAATATGCTGGGGAGTCATTTTTTAACAAGTATCGGAGTAAATAAAAGCAAAGCCAGCCATTGATGGAAGAGTTGGGCTGAGTATTGGGGAGTGGACAACCCAGGCCCAGCTCATTAATTTAGTCGGGATAACTCGGATCCTATCAGAAAACACACGTTAAAAGACATTAACTTACTTGGATCAGTGCTGGTAGTAACAGCGGTCCCTCCAAAATTACAGCTACTAGGAACTGGATTCTTCTGGTAATAGCTGTTAAATGCGTAAGAAGCATGATCACGAAGAGTGTTGGGGTTGTAGCAGCCACCTCCGGGCTGAATTGCTGCACAATCAGCACCACCGTAGCCACATGCGTAGTCTAGAGCAACTTGTAATGCAGTCTTGGATGCACTCTGGCTAGCCACACACCAGCTGCCCCCTGAAGATACAGGGGATGTCATTGTAGTTGGAACCGTCATCGGAGTCATGGTCACCGGAGATGGCGAATCCGGGTTCGAATTGGGATTCAAAACTGGATTGGATGAAGTAGAAGTGCTGGGAATTATTGTAGGGACGGTTGTTATTGGAGTGGTAATGTCCTTTTTGTCAGTGGAAATATCAGCCTTCCTAGCATCACTTGGACCTGAATCATGATTTTAAAAAAGGGGTTAGCTCTGAGCTCTTTCTTATTTTATGATAATTAATCACCTAATCAGAAAGAATTGAGAATTAAAATTAAAGAAATTGTTCTCTTAATGAATACTGACATTGAAAAGGTATAGAAATTGAGACCATGTTAAGGCAAAGCACTATCGAAACGAGGACAAAGTCATTTGGTAGACTGAAGGAAGAGCTTCATTAGGAAGACAAGCAAGCAAAGATTAGATTAGATTGTTTTTGTATGCAATAATTAATGACAAAAAAGAAAAGGGGAAATGTTCAAAGTTGAAGAACAATGATTAAAATTTTGAAAGAACAGGCAATGAGTGGGAGACCTACTGTATCCTAACAGAAAAGACTTCCTTCTAGAAAAAGAACAGTGCTGATTTTGAAAAAGAGAGGCATTGCCCACATGGGAAAGCTGTGAACATTCCATGTCCAACATGTAAAGCAAATAAAAGTTTGAATTCAGAGAATAAATCAGAGGATAACAACTGCAATCACTAATTTTGAAATGACAAATTCACAGCTAGGAGCTCCCATAATTCAAAGTTATAGTGAATTTGAAATATGGATATGAAAATT